CATTGAAAAACACAATAAAGCGTTAGCACCGTGACATCGGTTTAAAATAAAAAAAAAAAAAAAAAAAAAAAAAAAAACTATCTAGTATATTTTTAAAAGATATATATATCAACGAACTCTTTTCAATAATCCCTCGCACCAACTTTTTCAAAAAGCTCGACCTACGAAAACTATACAGTTACTATGTTTAAATACTACAAAACTTTACTAGTAATAGCTAGGATTAGTGGCTATTCACTGCATGTTGGTGTAACTAAAATAGAGTTGAAAAGAGTCTTCCTTGTAAGCGAAGTTCCCTGGCAGAAAACTCTGGTGCTACCAAGTAAAGACAAGCTCTGAAGCTTTGTTAAGTACTATGGAAATCTCAGCAGAAGTAGCTACTTAGTTAGATATATTATTCTATATAGCATAACTTTTACCATCTTCTTCAAGTTGGCTACCTCCTACCCTTTAGAATTGGGAGTCATGTATCCTTCTCTACACGTGTTCAGAATAAACAATACATATACCAATTACATATAGTATATTAGTTTTGAATGATATAGGGATTTCGATACTTAGTAATATATAATTTTTACTAGGCTACTATAGCCGAACTACACACTGCACATTTCTTTTTTTATTATTCTTTTCTTTTTTCATTATATATATTTTCTTTGTCTCCTACAAGGTGCACCTGTCAAGACTACCTTATTCTTTTTTTTGCTTTTTTCATCTTTGTTTATTTACATTAGAATTACTTTTAGAACATATTTTTTTCTCTTCTTTTATATGTTTCTTTTTTTTTTTTTTTTTCTTTCTTCCTAAATGTTTTTTTTCTTTTATAAACATGGCATTTATTTTTCCTTTATATAGAAGTAAGAGATAAACTATTCTGTCCAGACCTAGGTAAAAGAAGTTTTAAAAAGAGAATAGATAGTCTTGATGGGTCAGCAGGAACCTTCTAGTAATATATTTTTTCTTTTGATTGCAAAAAGAAATTTTATGGAAGAAAATCTCTGCTTATAGCAGATTGCATATAGGTGTCCATTAAATAACCAGGTGAGCTGAAACTTGTAATTTAGGTATTGATAGAATTATTTCTTCAAAAAATTTTAATATTTCCTAAAATGATATTAATTATCCTAATAAAGTTGAGGCAAGATTGCCAAATTTTCAAAAAAAAAAAGAAAGATATATATATATATATAGTAGTATTCTAGTAATATAGTAATTATTACTATACTGTAATATATAATATTTAATTATTAATTTGATTTTTTAGTTACAGTAATATAGTACTATATAACTAATTTTTATTATAATTTTTTAAAAAATATTATTATTAAACTAAATATAGTCCGATCTTAAATTTGATCTTTAAAACTATCACACTTTACAATCACACATTTTTATATCCCAAGTGTGTGATTATAAAAAGGGTTGACTATACTATAGTATATACAGTATATATATATATATATTGTATATATATACTATATATATATTTTTTGATCCAAATTTTATATTTTAATCCAAATTTTTTTAAATTTTAACCAAATTTAAATTTTTATTTTAACTAAAATTTAGAAAAGTTTGAACTAAAAATAAATATTTATATATATATTATTTTTTTTATTTAAATAAATAAGATTCACTATATAAGATAATTATAGATTAAAAATAAAAATTATATAAAACTATACAAACTTAATAAATTGTTTATATTTACTACTCGGGTGAATTTTTTTTAAATGTTTATAAAAAATTTCTTATGTTTTTTTTTGTATATAAAATTTTTTGAAAATAAAATTAAAAGCCGGATTGCGGGTCATTTTTAAAATTCTATGTAATGAAAACCAAAGAAACAAAAAATATTAATAGCCTAATAGCCAAAAAGGTAGTAGAATTTATTGGTTTCAAAAAAAATTTTTTTTTCTTTTTTACATAGATTTTTATGCTTTTTTTTTGAATTATAAAATTATTTGCCCGCGTAAACATTTTTATCAAACCCCTTAATTTTAAATTTTATACAATTTTTGAGAAAATAAAAAAAAATTCTCAAAAGAAAATACTAAAATAATTTTTTTTTAAAAAAATCAATCAATTTGTACAATGACTCCGAAAATGTTGAAATGATAAATATCAAATAAACAAGGTAAATATTATAAAATTAAGAATAAAAGAGAGACAAAAATTATAAACTATATAGTAATGCATTAAATGAGTTATTAAGAGAATGAAAGCTTTGAAATCTAAAATAGTCTACTGTGAGAAAATCTTGATAAAGGGATAGCCAGCTCACAAATACAAGATCTATAGGGAAGAGAAGCAAGAACCGCAAAGCACATGAAAATCATGAATATTGAAAGCGAACACCGCCTACTAACATCTCATCATAACTTTCCATCTCCAATTCGCTTATGCTATTTCTTTTTTCGACGTGAACTTCAGTCCAGCATTCATCAGCAAAATGATCTAGGTTAGGAAAACTGGTATATTCAGTCGAGTCGGTCATGGAATAAAAAGAATTTGGAGTGGAAGGTATTTCAGGAGTGTGTGAAGAAGAATTTGAAGTTAAAAACTCTCTGGAATCTTTAAAAGATTGAGGAGCAGACAATGGAAGAGGATTTAGAGATAACGAACGGAGGAGCATTGAGCTGGAACCGCCAGAGCGTCGTCTTTTATGTATCGGAATATAAGAAAAAGTAGGCTTTCGATGAGGGGAATTGTTTATTATAGAGTCAAAGGTTGGGTCAGGAGACATCGAACGAGAGGAAGAATAGGATGAAGGTGAATAGGATGAAGGTGAATAAGAAAGAGTAGGTACTTGAATGTTATTATTGTCACCGCGTGACTTTCGTGGAGCATTGACAGGCATCGTTTTTGAAAGAAATTGATGATGCATTTTCGAAAAGATATAAATTAAAGAAACTAGAATAAAAAATTCTTAATAACTTGAAATTTCTAATTTAAAAACACAGCTTAGTTGATATAATTTATATAAAAATAAAATGTGAAATTATTAAATTATAACGCTGTAAAATTAAATTCAAAAAAAAAAAAAAAGTAAAAGCAAAGAATTTATAGAAAAATCAAGTTGAAGGGACTTAATGCTTTGTGGCTTGCTTCTTTTTTTTAAGAAAAGGAGAGAAATTTTAAAATTCTTTTTTCGTGAAACTACTTTTATACAGGAATAATGATAGGCCATAGTGAATAGGACCCATGATAACAAGACACGCGACACAAAGTTTATGCAATTTTTTGTACATTAATCTAAAAATACACGACGGTAGAAATTATTATAAGTACGCACGTACGTACGTACCAGGTACTGTACGTATGTACGTAAAGTTCAGTTCTTTGTATTACAGCAAATAATTAACATTATTCCCTTTTAAACCTGGTCGCTAGATTTTATTTTTTTTTTACGCGAAGTAAAACTAGAACATTTTTACTACATGCAATAAATTCTGGAACATATCGATCGTTCTACCGGATATGATAAATATCCGATATTTCTAATTAATCTAATTCGATGATTCATTTGCATCTATACCTTAAAAAAACTTGTTTCACCTTTTCTTGTCGAAACAATAAAATCTGTAACCTCCAAGATGCTTCAAGATGCATGTAAACTGTTACAAAAAGAAATTCATTTAACGACCATATAAATATATTTGATATTAGTGATCAAAAAATTATGTATGAATATCATTACTGTATTATCAAAAAATTACGTATGAATATCATTACTGTATTATGATGATAATAATAATTATATCATGAATATCTATTTTTAATTTAGATAGAATATGTAATTCTGGTCAGAATTACAATCATTAAATTATCTAGTATGTCCAACTTCTAACATTTTGTACGCACGTACGCATCTTTCTCCACCTTTTCATCGATTAACGTTAATCATATTAATCATGGTAATTATTAAGTTTTAAGTCTTTTAAAGTTTCAAAAATAGCGGACGAGAGCAAAGTGATTTCGGAAGCAGCAAACTTTCAACTTGTCTCATTTATTTCAAGTTATTATGAAACAGCAATAAAAACTCAGCGGTTATAATCATAGAAGGCTTATTAAATTACAAATTTTCTCATTGCCGTATTTACACTACAGAAATGTATTGCGGCAATATAAATTAGTTCAAATGTTTTATAAATCGAAAATATCATGTCACAATTTAGTAACTTTGTCGTCAACTAATAGCGCTATTATTGAAGCTTCGTTTATGAGTACTGTTTATGGGCATTGTTCTTAAAGAAGTCTTAAATTTTTTATTATTTTATTTTTTTTTTCTTTGTTTAAAAAAATAGGGCGTTGAGATCGAAACCATCAGGGTTTGTTCAATTTTTTTTTTTTGGAAAATAAGAAAAATCTTACCTGTCTATGACTGAATTCATATCTCTTTGTTTAGGAGGGAGATGGTAAGGTAGGCTCGAAGAATTTTGGAACATAATACTTCTCTTTTTGCAAATCTTAATATTCATATTTTTATGAAATTATAGACCTTCCCAAAGAAAGTATGTACTTCATCTTTGAACAACTGAATCACATGAATTCTTCACAAACCTTTATTAATTCTTATATTATTACAGGGAGATACTGTTAAAATACATTGTAACTATTTCATATTTTGTTTATGTCTTTAAACTTTATAAACTTTTTGTAACCTTTGATGAATTTAGATACTGGCTGGCTTAAAGATGGTATGAAACAATTTGACTCCTCTACGACTCGTGGTAAGCCATTCGAGTGTAAAATTGGTGTTGGCCAAGTAATTAGAGGTAACGTAAAACTCTTATTATTGTGTTTTTTTCAAGTCATTTCTTTACTAATTTTTTTTAACAAATATTAGGCTGGGATGAAGGCAAGTTTTTTTTGAAGTGGTTGGAATTGATTGATTTTGATTACTGATTGACTAAATGATTGCTGGGGATGATCCATAAATGCACTCCTTTGGTATTTTATTAAAAGTTCTATATGCATGGGATTAAAAATCTAGTGTGCTTAAAGGAGGATATACAAGTGTTTACATTTATTGAGGGGTGCATTTATAAATATTTTAAGAATTATTTTATCTTATTCAAAAATTTATTACTCCACTGACTTTAAATCCATTTCTTTAACAGGTGTCCCTCAGCTTAGTCTCGGTCAAAAGGCTAAACTTACGATCTCTCCTGATTATGGTTATGAAAACGGCTTTGGTGAAATTGTAAGTAGACGTATCCATAAATTAGTATTTTATTTTATTATGTTATATTATTTCTAATTTTAATGTCTTTCTGAAGATTCCACCTAATTCTACCTTGATCTTGTAAGTTAAAATATTTTTTTTATCGGGCAAATACAATTTATTCATGCTTTCTTTTTTAAATTTTAGCGAAGTTGAACTCCTTGAAATCTCTTAAATGCTCTCAATTCTATGAATTTTTTTTTTCTCATAATGATTATTTATGTATTATTTCTGATTTGTTCAAAGCCACTAAAATAATTACCAAAATGAGCCATATTGTGTCTTAAGCTCATTCATTATATTAATATTCAGTCGATCTTTTAAATTTGATTATTTTATTAAAAGTTTCTATTTGGTCCTTTAAAATTACAATATGACTGCATAAATTCTATACGCTGCTAAATATATGAGATAGCCAATAATTCGACTAAATTAACCATGATGTTACACGACTTCATGAGAACCTGTATATTATGACTGGTTACTAGATAAAGTCTAATTAAGTAATACAAGTTTTTGAAGAGTTTTCACCAATTGAAAATGGATGTAAAATTATCCAGTCGAAAATTGTTGCGAGAGTTCTTTAATTTTGAATGAATACTTTAGATTAACCTAACTTGTGGTGGATATCCATAAATCCACTTGTACATTCTTTTTGTGCAAATTCGATGCCATGTTTACAACATCCTACTTCGATGTCGAATTAAAAAAAATTTTTATAACTTTAAGCTACTGTATTAAAGTTGTTCAGAATTTATTTTTATGTACGTACAGTTTTCTATTTTCCGAAAGATTAATAAGCAAGAACTGTTTCACACATTCAAAGACAAAAATTTGAAGTTTTAATTGGGCTTTGCTTGAATCATGGACCCATGAATTGTACCCGGGTCTTTTCTATTGGGGTATCATAGCAGGGGTACTGTAGTCAGTGCCGTACGGTATATTTACATATAAGGGAGCGGGCAGAAATCAGCTGATTTTAGAGGGCGGAGGGGTCCTACCTACCATAGATACCGTTCTAGTAAAAATTATCGGAACAACAATGGATTTAATTGGATATAATTGGAAGCATAATAGCCTCCAGCAGAGTTGTTAATAAACATTGTTCACTAAAATGAAATTTTGTATACGTATAATAGTATAAAATAGACAAGCCACCGCACCGAAAAATATACCAACATATGTACCCGGGTATTTCCCTAGTTCGTTTTAGTACCCTGGGTACACATATAGGGGACACGACCAGGGCGGCCTCCGATTTTACGGGTCACGTGGATAGCGCCACCTGCAGCAATTGAATCAGTAATGAATCTATTGTGCATATTGAATATTGGTAACGTCACCCACATGAACCGTAAAATCGGAGGCCACCCTGATCGTCATGTAGGGGGATATATTGTATGCAGTGTTGGCAATTTACATCGGCCAAATAATTAAATTGGCCGTTGGCCAATAATTGCCTGTTTAGCCAAAAAATGGC